AAATAGGAAAGTTTGTTGTTTGAGAGATAGGACTTGACGGCTTCGAAATCCGCCATGCTTTTGGTGATGAATCTGGTCCCGCTTTTGGTATTACGGACTCAAAGTCACCACTGACCACATTTTTAAGTTGCTTTTGTAAGTGAATGAGGTTCACTGCGGCCGTTATAATTATTGGGGGTGGCCTGCCTGCTCTACCTGATGATTCCACCTCCAGAGTAGTGGCTCCCTCCTCCAGCACAGTGGCTCCGTCACCAGCAGTGTCGGTGTCCATTTTTGTCACCCTGAGAGGAGCAAAGTAGTTGCGGGTAGGCACCACTTTGGATTGGGTGTTGCCTGTGGCAGCCGCTGCCTTCTTTGAAATCGGGGCGACTCGGTTGTGCTCTGCCGTTTCCGCCTTCGGACCTGTTTGAAGTCTTCCTCTTGGGAGGGCTTCGTCTGGGTTTTTGTTGCCTCCGATGTTCTGGCTTTCACTAGGGACTTTAGATCGTTCAGTGTAACTGTGTAGGTTCCGTACAGAGCACTGAACAAAATCTTGCCCTTGAGAGCCTTGCAATAGCCCTCTCTGCTTTCTTCAGCGGCATTTACTATTGCCGCCCACTCAACACTTTCTCCAATTGCGGCGGGTGTGAAGCTGGCCACATCCTCAATGTCACAGATGATTTTGAACAATCTCCTGTAATGTTCATCTGCTGCAGGATATTGCTTCACGTTTTCCTTATACTCTGCCTGTAGTGAGGCTCTTTTATCTGTCCAGAATGCATGATAGCCAGGCACCGAGGCGTCCGCCATGTCTGGCACGGCACGGCACGACACGACACAGGCCTCAAGAAAAATCTGATAATTTTGACAACAAAGGACTGAAAATTTCAGAGCTACCAGCAATATAACTCCTTTATACTCTCCTTGGGCGTGAATCAGTCCTGTCCTGTCAAACAGACAATCTCGAATCCACCACTCGATCCCCGATCCCGCATCGAATCCAATCCACTCAGACGTATACAACACTCACAATGTATGTATCTCTCACAATGAATCACTCGTTCAATGATCGAATGATCAAACTGATTGCACCTTGGGCTCCCGGTCTTAAATACTACCGGCCGGGAGGTGGTGCTAAAGTTGCAGTCGTCACGGCGCGCATACATTGGGCCGTGCACGGAAAGGCGGAGTCACGGCGAAGTTTATAAATATATGTAGCTGGTATATAAGTCGCAGTAGTTGGAAATGGTATAAATTCCGTGTCTGTTTGAGTAGGA